AGCCCGTGGAATCCTGTCAATGCAATATCTTTTCTTTGTCAGCCTTCCTAAGATGTTCAGTAATACCTCACTTGTTATATCAGATTTGCGGGTATGTAAAGCTTTGAGCTCTGTGGTTTCCAGACTCTTTATTAGGAGCTCATGCTTTTCTGGCTGCAAACCTGTCAGGAGCAATCTGTAAACACTTGAGTGGAAAATTCTTTGTTCAATTTTTTTTCTTCTTCGTCTTTATTATTAAAATGTAGAAAAAAAATGAATTTAAAAAAATGATTTAGGATTATGAATGTGAAGAAGTGTTTGAAAAAAAAAAAAGATATTCATTATATTAAAGCTGCCAAATTGTAAGAATTTCAGCAAAAATGCAACAACAGCCAGCAGTGTTGACTTTCTTGACTTTATTTAACGGTGGTCATGTTCATTACATACAGCATAAATTTTGTTCGTTAGTTCACATTTTAGTGCTTAATCTTGTTCTGTGTACGTACATTTTATCATTTTACATTCAACAAAATTAAGTCATAAAAAAATGACTTACTAACTGTCTAAATTAGGGCTGCACAATATATCGTTTCAACATTAATATTGCAATGTGATTATTCACAATAGTCACATTGCTGAATATGCGATGCTGAGTCTAGATTATAATTGATCATTTGCATGTGTTTTTTGAGGCATGAGGATTTTAAAAGCACATGAAATTGTACCATTTGTAACTTCAAAAAATGAAGAACGATAAATGTTATTGAATTGTTTATACAACGAAGACAGTGCAGTGTTATTTTACATTTAATTATTCAATTACTGTATATACCAGAATACTGTTAGACTCCTTGAAAAAAAAATGCTGTTTATTTAGTTTATCTTTTTTGTTTAATTTATTCATCTTGTAGGTTGTTTATTATATTTATTGCAAATGCAATTCTCCACAGAATCATAATCATCCCAATCAATCAAAAATTATTAATTCTTTCCAAATACTTATTCAAGTGTGTGTGTATATATATATATATATATATATATATATATGAATATCTCAGAATAAAAAAAAAAGTTTGATTTTTTCCGATATTGTGCAGTCCTAGTTTAAATGTGTCTCTTATGGAATACGTGACTCTCTGCTGTGTGTTTATGTATGTTTTGCAAAACCCCTTTTCACCCAAAAATATTTTATTGGAGTGTCCTGGTTTTAACAGCAGTAAAATGCTTTAAAAAGCAATATAGACTCTGGCATGGCAATAAAAAATAAAATAAACAACTACAACCCTCTGCTGTGTGATAAATTGCAGAGATTATGTTAAGTTTTTACTATAAAACAGCCAATGGGACAGAACCATAAGAAGAGTGTTTTCTATGAAACAAATACAGCATATTTCTAAATATGACAGGCTGCACCTGACTATATTATTAACTTCAGAACTGAATTGATTAACACATGCTTAATTAATAATAGGTGGACATGCCAACACTTAAAGTGCAAGCTCTGTAAAGCATCTTTCTAAACATTCACTATATACAGTGACCCTGTAGATGGTGGTTTAGTTAATTATATAGTCAAATTGAAGCTATATAAGTTTTTGTTTGCTATAATATCACTCATGTCAAAAATAGTGTATATCAAACAATGAAAGGCTATAGAGTTGTGTTCTGTACACACACAAAACAGTTCAGGATTTGGGCCACAATTTTCACTATGTTTATATCTGATTTACTAAATGAAGCTGGTTTTTAAGAGCCATTTGTTGGGGAATTCTGCTTTAGCCATCCTATATAATTTTGATTCAGTAAAAATTATTGCAGAGAAAAAGTTCAAACTCCCAAAGTTGGTTGCAATATTAAAAAATGGGTCAAAGTTACTAACCATACCACTTGTTCAACATCCATATTCCTTATTCATCCTCATTATTTATTATTTTTGAATTTAAAGGACACAAATTCTTGGAATCATCTTAGCACTGTGCAATATTGTCAAAACAGAAAATGTACCCTCTCTTTTGGGTCTTAATGCATATATTTATTCAACATAAGACAGCACATTAACAAAGTGTCGTTTTAGATGTGTCGTACATCAAATGCAAAACAAAGCAGCTGTCATCAGCTCTATTTGTACTAATGACACATGCTGCAACTCTTGTCTATTGACCCTTAAGCCTTCCATAAACAAATGAAAAGAGATTTCATCCCCAGCTTAGTAAACATGCCACCCCCTGCCTCCATTCCTCAGTTTAGACTTAGATTAGCGCCATAATGATGGCTTGGCCTAATGAGGCCTGGGGGATGAACTCTGAATGGGGCTCTCTGGAGTACTGCCATGCTTCTCTGCAGCCAGCAATGAGATTACAGCAGTAAATGAGAAAAATTGAGCTCCATCACAAACCCTAAAGCTGAAGACTGAGGTCCTGTTTACACCTGTTATTAAGATGTGTTTTCCACAAGGTTACAGTACTAAACATGAGGGTAAAGGGGCTAAAACGTCCAATAGAAAGCACTTTCAGCCAGATTGCTCACATAGTATTGATGCTGAATGGTCAAATACATTTAAACAGGCAAATAGGACCATCTACTCTCTGCCAACTGACATAAACACTTATGGGATGTGTTTTGAGTAAGCAGAGAAAACAGTTGATTCAAACTTTACTATGTTATGCTATAACAGACAGATTACAATTAAATATCACCGTTTCCATTCACTTCCTTTATTGCACGCTCAAAAAAAGAGGAAAGACTAAATCCTATTTATATATGGCATTTCTATGAAATGGAGTTTGTGCATATCTAGGGCCATTTACACAACAACGTTTTAATGCAAAAATTGTCAACTTTGTATGCGCTTGGGCTGTTTCCTTACACAATCTTTTTTTTTTTTTTTACAATCGCAAATTTGGTTTTTAAAATTTAATGTTTTTGGAAAATGTCAATATGAGAATCCATGACAATGATGATGTCATTTGCATGCATATGCATTTAGGGAGTGTAGATTAAAAGCAAACACAAACAAAAACACAAAAATAATGGAGCAAGTTCTAGTGTTGCTGCTCGAGTGTTTGCTACATTGTAAAAAATGCAGGGTTCCACACAATCGTTTTGCGTTGGGATAACATAAAATAATTAAATTAACTTACACTGTAAAAAGTGAAAACATAAACAAATTACTTTGACTAGTAACAATTCAATTAATTAAGTTTGACAAACTTAATTTGTGACAGAGTTCTTGGGCGCAACAAGTTATAGTAATTTATTTAGAACTGGAACAGTGCGTACAGTACAGTACAAATAATTTTCTTCCCATGCTAATATAATATTAATACTTTTATTACAGTATACATACTTTTCTTCCCATGCTAATATAATAATAATTCTTTTAGTACAATATAATTAATTTCCTTCCCTTGTTAATATAATAATAATATAATAATTTTTATGTTGTTAATAGCAAACAATGCTTGTACTTGCCATAAATAAATTACTAAAAGTTGTTACACCTAAGAAAACTAACTTAATTTATTACTGAAAACTAAAATTTTGTCAAACTTAATTCATTTAATTGAAACAAGTCAGAATAATTTGTTTATTCACTTTTTACAGGTTACAAATGTAAGTGGATTCTACATAAACCAATGACGTTGCTGCAATTAAAACTCAATAATTGTGCTGTTTTAGCTTATTTTGAATAAGTAGTTTGAACAAACAGCAAATATCATTTTTAAGTGTAACTCTTCATCATCAAAGTGTGTATTTACTTCAGTTCACATTAAAGCCAACAATGAAAACGCATCGTGATGTATATAATACTGCATTTTTCATCATTTTCACATATATCTAAACAGATCATTTTGAAAACATTTTGTAAATGTGAAACTTTTTTCTAACGCAAGGTAAAACTGAACACTTTAACATTTCAGTGGAAACATGGCTTCAGGTGATGTCCAGAGAGTCTAGATGTATGCATGGTCTGCATGCATCACTACTATTTTAAATCACGTGTGTAATATAATAGCTACATTTACTTCTAAATGCCTCATTATAGCTCAGTACTACCCAGTGTGCTTTCCACCCATGTCATCATGCCATAAATTCCCTCTCTCCTGTCTCTTGGCTGTGTTTGTGGCTTGCAAGGTTGTCTTTAATTCTCAACATCTGTCTGACGGGCTGCTAATGACGGACCCAAGCCACCGAGGAAGTGGAGTGAAGGAGCTATTAGTGGGCAGAAGTAAAGATGCACTGGCTTCCAGTGCCAAACTACCTAATCGATCCAATTTTCCAGAGTTTTGTGGTAAAAATAGGGAAAAAATAGAGTCCTGTTTAAGTAGTAAGAAACAGTGTGGCTGCACTGACAACATTGAATCAGAATGAATGTTTTATGCAATTTAAATGAAGATTTTTTTTAATTAGAGTATGTTTGTTTTTGTTCTGTTTCATTGACTGTGGATATTATGCTCTTAATCTTCATGTGGTTAAAGATGAAATCAATAACTTTGGATATCTCAAAGTTTTTTTTTTTCGTTTTCTTTTCTCAACCACTCGTCCTCTCGTTCTCTCCACCTCAAAGTATGCCTGTTGCTTTTTCCCGTCCTCTCTTTTCTGGATAATTCTCGGGGCCCTTGAGTTAGTAATGTGAGCAGGCGTGGGTGAATGAGAGAGGGAAAGAGCGAGTGTAGGCTCAAGGGAGGAGAGAGGTGAAGAGGGCCATAATAGCCAGCCAGATGGAGAGAGAGAGAGACAGAGCCGCCCCACTTCACCCATAATAAGGGGTAGTGCTTTTAAATGCCTATTTTACAGCCTTTTTCCAATTCAATTGAATTAACCCCTATTTCCAAGCAATTTGGACCCATGTTGTCATGGATACAGAGAAGAGATGGCGGGATGCATGCATTCCCCCTGAAATAGATTTGTATGTATGTGTGTAAGCTAATGCAGCTCTTTTTCTACAGACATGTGGAAGCTCGGTTATGACTTGCAGTGTATTGATGTTCATGCTGATGTTGTTTTGGTTGTTTTCGCAGGATCTTCCCCAGAGAATACCTGTTGCAGCATGTGCATCTTTACTCATTGGCAGATTTGCAGCAAGTAAGTTTATTACTCTCTTGTCTGAAACGGATCTATTTTTTTAATGCACCTATACAGTATCCCGACACAACATCATTTTTGTGCTTGTTGTATGAGGTAATCAATGGAATTATAATGATAGGAGCAAGAAAGACATTCCAGAATTAAATGTTCCAGTTCATGTTCTTTGTCAACATATAACGGTTGCTTCAAAGAATAAAACAGACTCTTTAATTTGTCATACTCACAGATATTTGTCAGTAACTGTAAGTGGGTCCAAATACAAAAAAATGCATTAAAAAAAAAAAAAAAAAAAAAAAAAATATATATATATATATATATATATATATATATATATATATATATATATATATATATATATATATATATATATATATTTATATATTTTATTATTATTATTATTATTTTTTTATTTTATTTTTTTTACAGTAGATAGTTTTCCCTTACAGAGAAACTATAAGCGTCTCATCTGCAAATACATAAAAATTCACATGGAACACATGCAAAGCTTAATGTGAAATCTGGCTTTGGAACATTTTCATGTGAAAATCAGCATACAATTTTAAAGTTTTTTTAGTTTGAAGTTTCAACTTACAGTTGAAGTCAGATTTATTAATTATTAAATTAATTTTATCTTTGCCATAATGACAGTAAATTATATTTTACTAGATATTTTTCAAGACACTTCTAGACAGCTTAAAGTGACATTTAAAAGCTTAACTAGGTTAACTAGGCAGGTTAGGGTAATTAGGCAAGTTATTGTATAACGATGGTTTGTTCTGTAGACTATTGAATAACATATAGCTTAAAGGGGCTAATATTTTTGACATTAAAATGGTTTTAAAAAATTAAACCATTAAAATTAACTGCTTTTCATTCATTCATTCATTTTCTTGTCGGCTTAGTCCCTTTATTAATCCGGGGTCGCCACAGCAGAATGAACTGCCAACTCGACTAGCAAGTTTTTTTACGCAGCGGATGCCCTTCCAGCCGCAACCCATCTCTGGGAAACATTCACACACACACTCATACACTACGGTCAATTCAGCCTACCCAGTTCACCTGTACCGCATGTCTTTGGACTGTGGGGGAAACCGTAGCACCCGGAGGAAACCCACGCGAAAGCAGGGAGAACATGCAAACTCCACACAGAAATGGCAACTGAGCCGAGGTTCAAACCAGCAACCCAGTGACCTTGCTGTGAGGCGACAGCACTATCTACTGCGCCACGGCCTCGCCCAAACTGTTTTTATTCTAGCCAAAATAAAACAAATAAGACTTTCTCCAGAAGTATGTATTTAAAGCTCTACATGGACTTGCCCCTGGCCTATATCTGAGCTTTTAAGTTTGTATTCTCCCCAAAGATCCCTTAGGTCTTCTGCTCAGCTCTTGCTTATTGTTCCTTAATCCTGCTTGAAAACAAAATGCGACAGAGCCTTCTCATTCTATGCTGTAAAACTTTGGAACACATTACCTTTGGAAATCAGAGCTTCATCTACTTTGTGTTTTTAAAAAATCTGTCAACTTGCGTCTTTTTAGCCTGTTGATGTAAATTAGTTTTTTTCTTTTTTCCTTTTTTTTTTTGGAGTTTAAATAAATTTTTGTTTTTTAAATTTTACTATAGCATATATTGTCACTTTGGTCAACATTCATGGTGTTTTAAGGTACTATAAAAAATAAAGTTGACCTTGACCTTGATAATGGTAAAATAATAATTTATCACTTGATCGTGACAAGTGATTGTACTTGTTTTTTTTTTTTTTGTTTTTTTTTAATGAGGGTCGATAGTTGAATTAATCAAGGATTAATTAAAGTGTGACATTAAACTTTACTTTCTCAAAAAATACAGGAATTAATAAGCAGCACAGCTGTTTTAATGTTCAAAAATAAGAACTATTTCTCTTGTTTACATTAACAACATAAAATCAGCATTCAAAGAACTTCTCAGTTATTATGTGACATTGAAGATCAGATTTTCTAGAAAATTCAACATGTACATGAAAATATTACATTTTAAAGTATTTTCAAACAGAAAGTAATTTTCACAAAATTACGTCACAATATCAGCCTTGGTGAGGCTTTTTTAAAGACATTTTGTCATTGATAAATATTTGAATGGTAGTGTATGCGTCCATTGTTTTATTTTCCTTCTGCTTAGTCCCTTTATTCATCAGGAGTTGCTTTAGTGAAATAAACCGCCAACTTATGCAGCATATGTTTTCCATAGTGGATGCCCTTTCAGCTGCAACCCAGCACTGGGAAACATCCATACACACTCATTCACACACATACACTACGACCAATTTAGTTTCATTCAATTGACCTATAGAGCATGTCTTTGTATTGTGGAGGAAATCGGAGCACCTGGAGGAAACCCTCGCAAAAAGAGGGAGAACATGCAAATTCCACACAGAAACGGCAACTGATCTAGCTGGAACTCGAACCAGCAACCTTTATGCTGTGAAGCAACAGTGCTAACCACTGAGCCACCCTGTCGCCCTAGTGTATGCGTTGATTTATCAGTTATGCAAAACAAAACAAAACAAACACGTGTTTTCAATTATTTTACAAAGTACTCATGAAATCTTGCTGGAAAATAAATGTCACCACGTTAGGCTTTAATGCAATGACAGGCCTGCATTTTTAAGAGTGGCTTAAGTGTTAACATCCATTTTGAGGTCACTGCATGTTACACATTCCTCTTGCTTCCATCTGATTCTGATAAATCACTTCATCACTTTCACACACACACAGACACACACCTATAGCATACATTATCACCCTAAAGAGTGTCTGTCCAGTGTCATTTGGCAGCGAGGGTTGAGAGGCTCTGAGAATAAGCTGTGTATTTCACACCGTTCTTTCTCAACCCTGACATTCCTGGAGTTCCTGTTATAGTATGTGCAACCTCAGCGTCATCATCACATTAACCTTGTGCTTAGTATTGTGAATTTATTATCATGGCTTATTTTGTGATGCTTTATCAAACTCTTATTGTGTGTTTTTTCTGCCATGGAATAAAAGTACAAATAAAAAAGGTAATTGTAATTATTTTAATTATTATATTCTTACCATAGGTTCACTTAAACACACCTTCTGTCAAATATACAATAAACTAAAGCATTTTCACAAACTGACATAAGTAAAGTCTGGTTTGATTTGTACAAACTAAATGATGATAGATATTTATTACTTTTGTAGACTTTATCTATTTAGTGCATTATTATTTTATTTTATTATTTTTAAAAGAACCAAAAATGTGTTTTATTTTACAATTTTTTGTGGCATCTTATTTAAGGATAATAGTAATATTAAAAAGTTCATTTACATTAAAGTTACATAAAAGAAAAGTTTTATTAATAAAATAATCAGTTTTGATGACAGATATGAATTAAATTATAAAAGACAGTCAAAAACAAAGGAAAACACAGGATTTTAAGATTAGATCAAATGAATCCATAAAATTAGTTTACATTGTTTTAAACTATTTTCATAATAACTATGTTTAATTTCAACTAAGGGTTTTACAAACTGTTTCCTCCCCATTAAAGTTAAATGAATATGATGAATAAGATGTGACAAAAACAAGTTAGAAATGTCTTCCTCTATAATTGTTATTAATTCAAAATGAAATGCTGTTTGCAAACTTTTAGACATGACTGTACACCATGGAAACTGGAAACAGTTCTCTCCTTATGCTGCTTTCTATTTGCTGTTCTTCATACCCCCCTCTGTCGAGGCTGAATTTTTGTCACTCTTCTGTTTCTTAGGAATGACCCCTGCCCTTATTTTTCTGTTGCTCTCAGAACATCTATTCTCCTGTCCCACATCCCTCTCCCTTCTGTCTCCTGGTGGGAGGCTGGAGTCCCTCTCCACCCTGTGTTCCCCCTACCCAACTGACTAATTACTGCCATTCAGGAGCAACAGGCAGAAAAACAAAGCGTGACAGTCCTGCCTCTGCCTCCATTCCTTTCTATTCTTCCCCAACATCCTATTGCTTGACACAGTTTTACATGTCAATGTTTTTGCTGCACATTAATTAAATTTTATATATATTATTATTATTATTATTATTACATAATATATAAGTATTATTATTACATTTTTGCAGCATTGAAAAATTTAACTGAAGTCTTTTTAGTCAAATAATCCAGACTTCCAGGAGTAATATTTCAGTTTATGGGGCTTTAAACCGAGTACAATATTTTCAGTCTGGTTGTCTACAAATACTTTTAAACGGTAGAATGTTGTTTGCTTTTTTTTTTGTCTTTAAATTCATCAACATTTTTTTATGTGGACCAGCGCAGTCCTTAATGCCTTACATGCTCTCTGTACTGTCAGTACTTTGTCCTACTTCTTGTGTACTTTTTTATCATAGCATTCACCTCAAGGTCTTTATGCTCTCTCCCCCCACTAGCCCAATTTTGAGGCATTTCCCATTCATGTCACATTACCTTCTCTTTCAGCTTCTTAATTGGCTTACCTTATTAAGGAGCCATTTTCTTTTAGTGTTGCTACTTAATGCCAGTTCTTTCGCAGCTCAGGAATGCTCGCCCTCCACGTCGAGGTCACTGAATGCTGAACTGTCTCCATGCAGCAAAACTCCAAACAAAACCAAATGCTCTTCCCATTTACCCATAACAATTAGCCCTTGGTTTTGGTCTTCTTTAAAAAAAGAGCCCATTGACTGTATTTGTTTGCGCAAGACTTGCTGATAAGCCAACTTTGTTGGGCCATTGCCTTTTGTTTTATATCTCCACTGGAAGAGTAGGAAAAGTTGCAACAATATGGGCGAGTGCTGTATAAACGCTAATTTTATCATCTGCATTACACCAAAGGCAACAGTGTTAGTCGTGCCAACAAAATGCTCTTAATTGAGTTCAAGTGGCAACGCTCAGGTTTTCAGAATGAACATATTGGAATTTTATGTTCTTCAGCTTTAAGTATACTCATAAAATCATTCATCTTCAATGGGATGCCTGCTTGGCGCTTGCTCGAATGCTTTCACATGGGCCAAATATGTGAAGAACTTCCATGTTGTTTCTCTTGTGCCCATCTCGCATAGTACCCTGGTTGAAACGCTTCCTTTTTTATTTCCTCACACACGCTGGTTGTAATCCTGTTTTGCGAGGGGCTGGCAGGGAGGGTGTTATCCAAACAGAGCTCACACTCTTTTTATCTGTCTAATCTGGGCCCTTTCTCTGCCGTTTAATGGAGCAAGCAAGGACATTAGGGCCAGGGCTGAGGAGGGGATGAAGAAGTAGGCGCTAAACTGTGGTTTTAGGGGATTAAGCAGCTGACGACAAAGCACATGCAAGACAGGAGCAAAAGGTGGGGGATTTAGGGGGAATTGATTTGGCAGACATCTCACATGCCCCCCGCAATAGCCACAGAGATGCTGTTTTTAGTGAGCTGTCCAGCTTTGATACATGTGTTGGCCACTTTTATGGCAGCTTTTTTCAGTTTAAGAGTTGTAGTAAAAGACTTTTAACATGGATTTCATTGTGCCGGGGGGGTATGCACATGACACCATTTTCAATCAAAATAAAATCCTGCAATGTTCCTTAATGTTTACACTCAGACATAGTGCACATTTTTAAAAACAATATTGTAATAATACTGTATTGTCGACATATTTAATATTTTCAGTCTGTTGGCATTGGCATGCATGTGTCCTTGAAGCCAAACAGGAAATAGTCTAACCAATCACAATTAGAACTAGCAGTGTTAGTGTATGCAAATTGAGTAAATGCATGACATTTCCAACAATGACACAGAATCTTAAAGCGTTTCAACATGTACACATACAGAAAGCTCATGTTAGCCTTAGCATATATATGTTGCTTTTTTCTATTTTTTTCCTCAACTTAAATGATATGTAGCTACATCTGATAAGTAGCAAGAAACTACATGTTGGCATAGGTTAGAGTTCATAGTGATGATGTGAATACATCAAGGCTCTTGGGAGACTGGACTGGGTAGGGTTGCAAAAGATGATTTGGAAAAGATAGCATTACATTTAAACTAAGTTCAGTTGTGCAACACAAAAATATTTCGTAATGTGTGAGTTAGTCACTTATTGTCCCTTAAGTCATACCTAGGCTACGTTTTAACTTACACACTGCTGGTGCAACCGGCAACTGCTGACTAGTTCCTATAACTATCCCAATGTTGTCTAGCCTGATTTTGAGATTATCCAAACATGATCTTTAGCTTCATTCGATGGGCATAAACTATTTTATTGACGTCCTTGTGTTTAATTACTCATTTTACACTTTGACATTTCACACTTCCATTAAGTTGTCAGTTACTCTCTTTAACAGCCCTTTAGCTCTTCAGAGTCCCGCTCCATCAAGCCTGGTTCACCCAAGCGTACTTGCTGTTTTGTTCACAGTCCCTGCTAAATTATTGAATTGCTTAATTACACCCACTGCCAGCATTGATCAAGGGGAGTATATATCATCTTTACCAAAGGACGGCAAGTGTGCTCACCCCACCACTTTGATTGGTGGCTTGCAGCGTTTTCTTAATGCCTTGCTTTATTACTCCTCCACAAGGGAAAAGGCAGGGTATTGCCTTCAGGGTTCTGTCAGCCCCGGTCAGAGAAAAACAAGGGTGTCTGAACTGAAAACTACTTGATGGATGGATGGTTAAAGGCTCTCCTGATACCTCTAACTGAGAAAGCCTGCCAACAACATCCCCTCGGTGTTCAATGGGCAGTGACTGCTTTATAGTAGCATGGGTCTTTTGGCCTTCAGTCCATTGAAAGTGGTGGATGGTGTATTTTTCCCTCTATGATTTTTTAATGACACGATGAAATGAAAATTCAGTGCATGTAATTGATAACCATGTTTGCATTTTCTTTTCTTTTTTTACCTTAATTAAGCACCTTCAAATGTAAAACACAAGTTAACATTAAAGGCAATTAAGGTTATTATTTTGTTCCTCATATTATATTATAAGTCATCTTACAATATTACACACTAGATCATAAATCCAAATCTGCATTGTGTTTGAGTTTTGATCCACGCTAAAGCAATCTGTCTTAGATTGCCTGAATAAAGTATTCCTGGACAGCTTGACAATGCATTTTAGAGTGGATCTCTTGTGAAAAGAAAGCAATCCATCCCAACAGACCAAGCTTGAGAATAATTTATGACTTATTACATATGTTCCATGAATAGCAGCGGTGTTTGTTTTGCTAATGCCTCTTAGAATTGTTCATGGTTTAACCTGGAGCAAAAAAAAAAAAAAGACTATAGAATTTGTACAACCCCAATAAACTTAAGCTCAAACAGTAGAGTGGTGCTCTAGTAATGGGTTGGATTTCCAGGAAAAGCAAAACACACATTTGTTGTAAATTATTTTGTTGATTAGATCACTTCATTGAAAATGTATTACATGCATCACTTATTTGAAAGTTCACTATTGTATAACTGCAGGTTAACTATGCCTGACTGCTGTACTGTCCACCATATACTCGACACCTTAACTCTTTCTGTCTTTTATTGTATTTTAATGTGTGCATTTATAAAGCTACTGAAATTGAATTGAATTTAATTAAAAAAGAAAGACTGCTAACTCTTGCATCTTGACTATATTGACTCTAAGTGGGCTAAAAGTGTCTGCTTGATGTAAATGTTTACTCTACACACCATGTTTCAAGTGACTGAACACATCTTCCAAAAACTTTGCCATGGCCACCATATCTAGATTCTCTGTTCCCACACAAACCTTCCCCTTTTCAACCTCTTCTCCCCACTCACGCTGCGTATGTGTGTGTGCGCGTGCGCGTCTTTCGTGGGAGACCGCGGTGGTCCTTCTTTTATTCTTTCTTTTTCCCCCCAAGCCTTTCCCGTCCCACCCTCCCAAGCTCTCCTCTCTGCTCCACTGTCCCCTCTTCTCCTCCTCCATTCTTTGGCTGGCTCCTTGTGGAAGGGCTGAAGAATGCTGGCAGGCCCTTTAATTGGTGTGCTGCAGTGCTGCCAGGTGTAGCCACTTGTCTCTGCCCCCTTGGTGAATATGCACTGGAGGTCTAGGCCCCTTCCCCTGTTTCATTCAGCTACCCACAATACGGCTTCTTCAGCATCCCACTTTCAAAGACCGGGCCGATTTTTAACTACTCTGGCCGATAAATGGCATTCACATATTATTTTTTGCAAACAGTCTCCCAAAAGGAATTACCCCACCCTCAATCCATAGCCAACCCCCCCACTCTCATTAGTTTTCATGCGAATTCCTGATGTGATGTCTTTTTTTTTTTCGTACTTTTCACTCATTGCAGCTTGTCCATGAGTGTTTGTCCAGACGCTAAACATCTCAGATAACCACTAACTGTTAACATAAGGATAACTGTCTTTTCATAATGGAGTTTATTTATTTTTTTTATTCAAGCATAAGTTTTTTTGAACCTGCTCAACTCTTATAGCTGTTGAACACATTTAGTAAAGCCTTTTTGACAGCTGAATTGTTTGGATCGTGGTTTACACTTTCACTATTCCCCTGGTTCCACCTCCATTCGCTTTTTTCCTCATGGTGAATTATTATAAGTAGACCAGCAAAGATTTTTCCAGAATGCTCAGCAGAATCCAAATATAATTGTTGACAATGTTTAACAAATCCTATTTTGCTCTGCTTTTTAGTTCATTTGCATCACATTTCTGCTACAAATAGAATTATCACCATCTTTAAAGGGAAAGTTCATCCAAAAATGCACAATTACTTATTATTTACTCACATTTGCATATCTTCAACCATTTGTAAGTTTTGTAAGTTTCTTTATTTTGTTAAAGACTAATGAAGACACCTTGAAGAAAGGTGAAAACCTGTAAACACTCACTTCTATAGTAGGAAAAACAACAATTGTGGAAGACAGTGGCTGCAGGTTTCCAACTTTTTGTGTAGACACAAAGAAAGCAAGTCAAACTGGTTTGTAACAAGCTAAGAGTGAGTAAATTATGACAATTTTCAGTTTTGAATGAACTATGTTGCTACTGTAAATATAAAATCCGTTCTACAGAATTTTGACATTCAGTGTTGTACAAATGGACAGTTTTACTGATTTTCCCTCACTGAAGTGAGCACTTACTATGCACCAAGCCAGGTTACCAAACTTGTTCCTGAAGGGCCGGTGTCCTGCAGAGCTCCAACCCTAATCAAAGACACCTGAACAAGCTAATCAAGGTATTACAGGTATACTTGAAACCTACAGGCAGATTAAAGTTAAACTCTGCAGGGACACTGGTACTCCGGGACAAATATTTGTGACCCCTGCAATAAACTAAGCTCTAGCAATTTCAGCAGTGACTAATCTAAACATACCTGATTGGCCATAGTCTCAACAAAAGTATGTGTGATTGGATATTCTGTAAATCAATTCCCAAGTCCTGTTTGACCTGGGGATTTGGGTTAATCAAAAATGTTCTTCCAGTGTTTCTTTACAAAGGGACAAACTTGTAAGTTAGGAAAGATCTCTTCAAAATCAAAACATGGAAGCTAAAATTCAGATTTTGGTTACGGCATGTTGTAAGCGGTAGACCAATCACAACAGACTGCACCATCTGACCAATTAGTGCAGAATATGTTAATGGAAAGTATATCATGAGGAAATTTAAAATGTTTTTTGAACTTGGATGCATGACAACTTGTAAGAGACCTCCAAAGCAAAATTAGCAGCCTTTAAAATAACACAATGGGTTTATTTAAAGCTATTTTAAACAGTTAAAGTGATTTTAAAACTATTAATCTGCAATAGTAAACAAAGCTAACTAGATTTTTTAAATTGGTATTCGTATCAGTGTTTGCTGAAAAATATTGATCTTGTTTTTAGGAATTGTGTAGGTTATCATCCTTACTTCTAGCACAAATAACTGTGTAGTCAATATAATGTATACCTTAAATGTGAAATGTCTCTTGTTTTGTTCATATAGTCTTGGAACATGTACATCTAACCCCTATTTTTATTGTCGTTCTCTTTCCTGCAGGTCATTGATGGAAAGCTTGCTCCCTTTCTCTCGAAGGTAATCAAGTTTGCCAGCTCTCATGTGTACAGTTGTAGTCTGTGCCGAGAGAAGGGCTTTATCTGTGAGCTCTGCCACACTGGCCAGGTCATCTACCCCTTCCAGGAGAATGCCACCAAAAGGTAAGACTCGTAGACATTGGTTTACAAAGACATTTGAAGGTTAATTCTAAGTCGATGCATAAATTGGCCCCAAAAAATAAACAATTAAGTTGCAATTAGTAGTCTCAAAGTGAGATATACACCACTGGTCAGTTTGGAATCCGTTAAAAACAATGTTCTTTAAAAAAAAGCCTATTCTGCTCACCAAAGCTGCATTTTTTAATCAGAATTATTGTACAATTATGAAATATTATTACAATATAATATGTCTGTTTTAGTTATTAAATGTAGTTTTTAATGTAATTTATTTCTGAACTTTCAGCATCATACTCACTTCCGAAATTATTATAATCTGATCATCTACTGCAAAAAAAAGCCTTTATTATTTTTATTATTGTTGTGAAAATAAAAATGTATTTACTGTTGTGTATTAATGACACATTCAATTGTTCAATCACATTTCTATTGTAATCAAAAACAATACTGTTATTCTGAACTTTCTTTTTACCAATAAATCCTAAAAGGTTAAATGAGTAACTTTTTTCCTTTTTTTAAACAAAACTGTGAAGCAGGAAAAAAATGTCAACATTGATAACTAAAAGAACCTGTGTTAACGACTGAGTACCAATAATAACTGATCCTAATAGAACAGCAATTCATATATAATAATAATTTCTGATGCATCATGTGACACTCAAGATTGGAGTAATTATGCAAAAAATTTTTTATTTAAATTACTGGAATAAATACAATTTTAAACTAAATACAATACGAAAACAGTCATTTTGAATTGTAATACTATTTCACAATTATTTAATTAATATTTAATTATATATTTACAGTATTATTGATTAAATAAATGCTGTCTTTTTAACCTTAAGAACAAAAACTAATAATAAATGATATTATTAATAAATCTAAATCTAATTTAAAAAAAAAAAAAACTTACTGATGCTAGCAGTGTACATTATGAAGAGAGTGAGTACAGGTGTAGTTGACACTAGTGCTGAGGATTGTTTAGCCTCTGTCTCATGTTAGTGACACCCAGAAGGCAGTGTATTAAGGAGTGATGGCAAGGTGATAATAAGCCACCCTGTATAAGGAACAGTTAATCCCCTTCAGCATCTCAGCTTTTTTCAGAATGTGTGTATTGTCCGCTTATGGCCTTCAGCTGATAAACTGGTCTCTTCATACCAGTAGTGTGACTAGAAGCTTTTCGGACTCTCCAGCGAAGTGGAGTGCAGTTCCCAGAACAGATGCTGCTGTTTAAACATAGCTCTTCTCACGGCAACACTGATAAAAACTCAGTCACTATTGGTTAGGGTTTCGACAGCTCAAGTGTTGACTTTTAAATTGAATTAGATGAGATAGTGAAGATATTATACCTTATTTCATATTAAAATGCTTTTGAATATTGAATTCTATTATGCTTTTATTTAACGATCAAAATAAGAAGCTCTGTATTTTTAAATACCTATAGGAAAAGACCAATGTAGAAGCAGTGTTGAAGCAAATGCTAAAAAGTTATTATACTGTTGAAGTCAGAATCATTATAATTGTTTATTTTTTTTCTCCAATTTCTGTTTAACAGATTTTTCCAGCACATTTGTAAACACAATATTTTTAATAACTCATTTCTAATAACTGATTTATTTTATCTTTGCAATGATGACAGTAAATAATATTTTTATAGATATTTTTGAAAATACTAGTGTTTAGCTAAAAGTGACATTTAAAGACTTAACTAGGTTAATTAGGTTAACTAGGCAGGTTAGGGTAATTAGGCAAGTTATTTAATGATGGTTTGTTCTGTAGACTATCGAGATATATATATATATATATATATATATATATATATTAAAGGGGCTAATAATTTTGACCCTAAAAAGGCTTTTAAAAAATTAAAACTGCTTTTATTCTAGCCGAGATAAAACAAATAAGACTTTCTCTAGAAGACAAAAAATATTACAGGACATACTGTGAAAATGTCCTTGCTCTGTTAAAAATCATTTGGGAAATATTAAAAAAATAATAATAATTAAAATGAAAGGGGGCTAATAATTCTGACTTCAACTGTATATTCTGTATGTCATAGATGAGAAAGCCCTTTTGTGTCAGAAAAAATTTACAAAAGGGTTTGATATACATAGAAAGCATATTATGTCAAAGTGTCTATATTAATGTTTTAAGTACTTATGGTTAAAAAAAAATGGGCAAAAAGGGGTGAAAAACATTCCATAAAGCTTAAACAAAATATTTTTGCAAAATGAAATTTAAATTAAATTTAAACTAATAAATGAAATTTGGTGATTTCAGAGTATAAAGATTTAAATGATAATAAATATTTTTAATAAATTTTGGAGCTGCACTTTAATAGACTAACTTACATTTTGATGCCTAATGAACCGCTGTTCATATTTAGTTGGATAATTAAATAGTAACAAACAATTAAGCATTCCAAAATTGTGTTATATTTACAAAAAAATGCATGTTTACAGTACATATATTTTAAGTATTACATATTAATTTTAAAATATCTGATTTATATAAATCGAAAGAAAAGTCTATATATCAGAAAAACTAGTGTATAGTATAAATGTATTGCATCCAAAATAAGTTTGTTTTGACATAATATGTGTGTGTACAATGTGTATTTATTGTGTTTATATAAATACACGCATACATTTAAGAAAATGTAGATTAGATGTAGATTAGACATGCAATATGTAATAATATACATGTATATAATATAAATTATATATAAATTTAAATATCTATGCCACAACATAGTTTTGTATAGTTTTGTTTCTAACACATTTACATTTTATATACATATAATTACACATGCATATATTATGTCAATACAAACTTTTATTTTGGATGCTGTTAATTTTTGCCCTGCACTGAAAAAAAAATTACATTTAGATTTTTTTCCCTCTTTACTTAAATATGACAAAATTCATCAAGAAATAAATCATTTTTATTGAAATTGTTTCATATCCCATCTATGAGCACCTGTTTGATTCACTGATAGACCCAGTTGCATCTGTTTGGGCAGTTTGAGTGTGTCTGTTAGTACAGCTGGATCCAGGTGTTGCACTAACTGATTTCCTGTGTGATCTGTTTAGTTTTTCTCGAATGTTTTGGGTGTGTTTGTGTGCACTTCATGTTGTATCTGTAACAGTACATGCTCAATAGGGCACTAGTATGCAGTCATAAGAGCAGAAGGTGTCTCCACACCCCACTGTAAATCCATAAACTCCACCACACCTCTCCAATGAGCAACAGCCTCAGCCCTACAGCCCTTTCAGATCCTTACTGTTGGAAAGAATTATTTATTTATAGAGGCCAATTTAAAATAGACATCCAGTCAGCTAGTATTATCTTGTTAGCATGCGTTCGGGTTTTATTCATGTTGGACGTGCTTCAAACTGTGATACTGTACATTGGTGGTCTATTCCTCTATATGGAAGAAATTACATTAGGAGAATTTAGTTTGTAAATGCTAGTCAAAATAAGGTTGTTGCAATGTTTAATGTGAAGTGTGGAGTGTTTTTTGAATGGACCACCAGTAGTACTTCTGGTTAGTATGGCACAGCCTTTTGGCCAACTGTCATCTTGGTTTAACTGTTGGCTTGGCAGCTCAATAACTTCAACCACTGAGCTACTGCCGCCCATGATGGTTCACAGAAAGAAGTTGTTTTCCTTTAGAGGAAGCCCATGCGCTCTTTATTGTTCTGGGATTTTTATATAGACTGAGAGGAACATTTTTAGCATGCATATAAGTAGACACATAATTGGACATGCATGTGTATGTAAACATGCATACAACAAATGTTCTGGGTCAGTAAAAAAAAAAAAAAAAAAAACACTTATGTTCAGGAAGATCAATAGAGTGATAATAAAGACAATGTGTTGAATACATTTTCTAGATGTTTATCATTTAAAGGGCACATATTTTTCCCATTTTACAAGATGTAAGCCAAGCCTTTGGTGTTTCAAGAATGTGTCTGTAAAGTTTAGCTTAAAATACCAATCAGATATTATATTATAGCCTCCAGAATCTACCCGTTTTGCTACAGAGTAGCTGTTTTTGTAGCCTGTGGCATTAAATGCAAATGAGCTGCTTCTCCCTGCCCACAATTCCCACGTGTGCCTGCTTCTCATCATGCGTTACGTCAGATAAACAGCAGTCAGTGATAGACACAGACACAGAGACAAGTTTAAATACAGTTCAGTGGTCAAAAATACCAAGTGAGTTTATTTCATGTATATGTGGTGGAGTTTATTCAAGCCTTTCTGAAATGATGAGTCTCACACAAATGCTATTTGCAGTATAAACACACTCATATATGCTTGTTTACTGACCACATGCATCCTTGGTGATTATAGCGGTTAAGGATTAGCGATTTTAGTGTCTATTACATTATGACATGCTCTTTTTTTTTTAAATGTTTTAAATTTATAAAACTTTAAAAATCTTAGAGTTGTAACAGATTTTTTAATCCCAGTTTATTTGCAAAAAACAGTTCTGTGGACATGTGTATACATGTAAATACGGAGACATGGCACCTGTCAATCAATTTGGTATGCGGGGAAAACCGCACTCCCATGTCACGTTGCGGTTGGCCTCAAAATTACTGGGATTTAGATTCTATTTTAACCTTGGAAAGTTTGATTTTCTGGTTAATATTAAGCAATTTGTGTTTTTACTTTTATTGTAGTGACCCAAACCGACATATTTGGATGATTTCTGAAGGATTATGTGACAATGATGAAACCATGCTGAATATTCAGCTTGGTCATCACATGAATAAACCACATTTTAAATTGTTATTTTAAATTCCAAAAATGTAAACAAATATTAAATAAAAGTAAATTAATATGTAAAAATGTAAAAAAATGCTATTTTAATTTTATTTAGAATATAAATATATGTATATATATATTAAATTCATTTATTCATTAATTTTCCTTCGGCTCAGTCCCTTTATTCATCAGGGGTCGCCACAGCGGAACGAACCACCAACTTTCTGCTGGATAAGTCAAATAACAATAAAAGTGATTTGACTTATCCAGCATATGTTTTATGCAGTGGTTGGCCTTCCAGCCGCAACCCATTACTGGAAAACACCCATACATGAGTTCTCACACCAATTTAGCTTATTCAATTCATCTTTACCACATGTCTTTGGACTTGTCGGGGAAACCGGAGCACCCGAAGGAAACCCACGTAAAAACAGGGAGAACTGACACAGCAGGGGCTTTAACCAACGACCTTCTTGCTGTGAGGCGACAGTTCCACCCACTGCGCCATATATTATATTGTATAAATATAATATAATAATTTATGTCTTGGTCGACTTTGTTTTTAAAGCAGCGTTGCTCAAACTTTTTTATGAAAGGTCAAAAACCAAACTTGATTGAGGCTAGTGGGCCTAAGGTAAATATAGTTGCCATGGGTAAATTCCTTATTTATTTAATAATATTTTAAAAAATACTAGAAAATATTGCTTTATATTAACTAATTCAGTATGTGTTTTTACAGTTCATAATGGACGTATTACTTTAAAAACAATCTCATTTATAACAGAATAGAGTTAGACTAGTTTTTGCCTTGATTTGCTCACTGATGTCTTCTTCATAGCCCTCTATCCATCGAGTGACAGGATTTACATTTTAAAAAATCAGATTCATTTACATTTCATTTCAGTTTGCTTTTTTGTAGCTCTGCAATAAAACAAACAAACAAACAAACAAACAAAAAAGGTAACTCTAAATTAATTGACGATCTCTGTTAAAGCCATTTTCCCCAACTCTCTCGAACCATTCTCACTTCTCCTCTCAGATGGGATGGTGGGCCAAATTGAAGGTTACAATGGGCCAGCTTTGGCCCGCAGGCCCTACTTTGGGCAACTCTTCTTTAAAAGGAAAGTTCACTAAAAAACAAGTATTTGCTTTCTTTTAAACACAAAAGAAGATATTTTCAAACATGTTCCTGTAACAGTTGGCTTCCATATCTGTTTTCCCAACGCAATCTCACGGCAATTTGTAACTTTATGATTTAGTGGCTAATTCGTATGAATTTATACGATCTAATTCGTACAATTTAGTACGATTTGCTCATCATCCAACTATGGTTGGGTTTAGGGGTAAAGTTGGGTGCCACACCTCCATTTTTAAATCTGACATTTTCATACCACTGAACCCATACGAATTAGCCACTAAACTGACAAAACGTAAAATACTTATGTTTTCTTGTGAGATCAGGCTGGTTTTTCCTACTATGGAGGTCAGTGGATTTCACCTTTCTTCAAAAAATCTTCTTTTGTTTTCAATAGAAGAAAGAAACTCCGTTCTTGAGTTAGTTTTTGTTTTGGGGTGAACTATTCCTTTAGGCGAAACATTCTGCAGTCTCATAACTAATAACGGCATTTAGACATCATCATCAATTGCTGTCATCATTTGCCACATTGCAACCTGACATTGACCTGATGTCGATTTTAATTTTTACATAACTCATGAGTACTTACAAATTCATTTTTGTTAATTATTCCACATTATTAAAATGTCTGAAAATGTAGGGTCTAGTACAGTGTTCATGACTTTTCCTAATTTTTATAACAATTTTAGCAAACACTTTTGCTGCTCATAAATTACTGATAATTTATTAAATACGCCAGACTAAGGGCTCTATTTTGACGGTCCATGCGCAGAGCGCAAAACGCAGGGCGCAAACGCATTCAGGGCGTGTCAGAACGCATTTTTGCTAATTTACAGACGGGAAAATCCGCTTTGCGCCAAGGCGCATGGTCTAAAAGTGTTGAGTTTATTTTCTTTATGAGTTATATGTGTGTTTTGAGAATAAACCGAATAAACCAATTAGAGTCTCATCTCCCATTCCCTTTAAGAGCCAGCTGCGTTGCGCCATAAGCGCATTCGCTATTTACAGGACGTAAAGTAAGTCTAAGTGGAAAAACTAAGCATTTCACTAGCAAACAGTTTACAGTTTTTTTTAACAGAAAACTGTTAAACAGAGCATCTACTGCGTGAGAATGAGAGATATTGGATCACTTTCACTTTTGCTCTCGTGGATAGGGAAACCTTTACGCACAGACATCAATTAGTCTATAAATGAATAATTTTGTTTGTTAAGCGCAAATATTCGTTTCAAAACTATTTCTAAATTCAGTTTTAATTTCCAGCAAACGAATAAATGAACAACAATAAGTTCAAAAACCTGAGTTATATCCTAAAACACATGCTGTGCCCCATATGGTCTAAAACCTGACAGGTGGGCAAATCTAAGCTTGTTTTTAATAAAACAAATATAAATATGGATATAATAAATAATACTGCTAATAATAATAACATTAAACAAAAGCAAAAGCAGAAAAAGAAAGAAAAAGCCTCCCGAGATGAAGAAGACATAAAAGCAGTGGATTTTTCATATTTATGTAGGCTAGAAAATAATATGTTTTGTAATACTTTAATCCTTTTTAATCCTATATCTATTCTTATTATATCCTATATATATCCTTAATATTAAATTTTTTTCATATGTAAAGATATTTGCCTATTGCTCTCTTGTGCGTATTAAGCAGTGTGTAAGCTAGACGCAACTCTGCGCTGGAGTTTAGACCGGGTTTGTTTTGGTCTAATGAAAAGTCTATTTTAGTTTCTCAAAATAGTGAGGCGCCAGCAGTCTGCCTCAGAACGCCTTCCTTTTTAGACCAGAACGCCTATGGACGCACAAATGAGCGCAAATGCATTTGCTATTTAAACAGCATAGCGCAACGCCTCAAAACGACTCTTGCGCCAAGTTAAAACTACCAAACAAGTATTGCGCCGTGCCTTGCGCCACATTGCGCCGGGTGTATGATAGGGCCCTAAGTGTTTCAGACAGGATAAAGATTTTTCCGGGTATCAGTAAATGTTTGGATAAAGCATCAGTGCTCTTTTGTGTATTGGCTGCAGGTGCGAGGGCTGTGGAGCCGTCTTCCACGCCGAGTGCCGAATGCGAGCTCAGCCATGCCCACGGTGCGTTCGGAGAGAGCTGCACAAGAAGCCGGCATCATTCTGGAAGAGACACGGTCCTCACGACAGCCCTGACGACGAGGTGCTGGACTGCTTCGAGCTGGACACCTGAGACGCATTACCAAGAGCAAAACTGTGCTAATGAAGTCTAAGAGCTGCTGTACCACAAGACTCTGTGCTCCCTCAGTGAAAGTGCTCTGTCAAAACCGAGAAACAGAGGAGCTTTTTTACCTTCTCCCTCACCTGAGAGAGATGGGCACAGAGACAATAATTCAGCTTCCGAAGAGCAGTGGCTTCATAATGATACCAATTTACCCTTCCCTTTCATCTACCAAATGACAGCCAGGGCCAACCGACAAATACAGGCAAAGTACGCTCGCACACTTGCACATAAACACACTCTCACTGACAGATGTAAAATAATGCACTTTCTGGCAGACTCACAATCCAAGAGCGATGATTCAAACCAATCTCTGGACACAAATAGAGCTTCTAATCCATTAATGGTTGGGTGAAAATGAGCGCTGCAAGATGGCCGTCATGTTCGGCTTCCCTTCACCTACAATACCGAAGACCCTTGAATCTCGATGGCTGAACATAAAAATAAATGTGCGTAGAACTTTTTATTTTTTACTTTTCCAAGGCGATTGCATTGTTACATTTGTTCTGTTTTATTTATTACAAGTTCATTGCACTTTAAGTATTTTGCCATTTTTGTCTTAAATCTTCGAAGCTTTCAGCTTTGCACACTCCATGATGGTTGAAGTTGGGGGTGTAATGTCAACTGGTGTCTCTTTCCGTCCAGCTGGAGCTTAGAAAGCTTGACTGTTTATCAACACTCAGTGGCGCTGCCTATAAGCAGCAGAAGCACGTTGTTCTTGCTAACCGCTCGGTCTGTGATTACAAACTACCCTCAGCCACCAAGCCCCGAAATTACAGTCTAGAGTTTTAGGGCTTTGTTTAGCATTCATACGTCTTTTTAACAAGAAACATAAAGCAAAGCCACCATGGACGGGCTCATAATTCATGTCCAACTGACCTCGGATTCAGATCCATGCTGCACCGTTGCATCCATACAATGGTTTTCTGAATATTTCAACTTAGAATTGAGATAAAAGTCTCATTTTGCTCAGTCAGATCTCAATCAGATCTGTTCTTTCCAATTGGACAATGAAGTGCTGCAGCCATAATTGCAAAGACGTCAAATTTATCAATGACTTTAAAGGAACACTCCTCTTTTTTTTGTAAATAGACTCATTTTACAAGTCACCTAGAGTTAAACAGTTGTGTTTTACAATTGTTTTTACACATTCAGCTAATCTCTGGGTCTGGCTGAAGCACTTTTAGCTTAGCATAAATTGTTGAACTGTATTAGACCATTAGCATATAACTCAAAGAGAGTTTAGATAATTTTCCAATTTAAAGCTTGACTCTTCATTTTCTGTTGGTCTTAGTAAGTACATGAAGTAACTACAAAAAAGTTACTATCTTCTAGGCCGATATGGCTAGGAACTTTGCTGCCATACCATGTCTGCAGCAGGCTTTAAATAAGAAATGATCAAAACTTTTTTGGAGTGAGATGCTAATGGTTTAATCCAATTTAATGATTTATGCGAAGCTAAGCTGAATGGATTTTGAACAAAATGGTAAAACTTTACTGTTTAACTCCAGGTGGCTTACAAAATAAGCTATGACCCTGCTGTAGTTACTTTGTGTACATGCTTAGACCAACAAAAAATGAAAAGTTGCTATTTTCTTGGCCGATATGGCTGGGAACTATACTCTCATTCCACCATAATAATCAAGGAACGTTGCTGCCATACCATAGCTGCAGCAGGCTATGAAAATGAACAAACCTTTTTTGGAGTGAGATGCTAATGGTCTAATCCAATTCAATGATTTATGCTAAGCTAAGCTGAAAGGATTTAAAAAAAGATAATACTCAACTGTTTAAATCTAGCCGACTTGTAAAATGAGCTTTAACTCTTTTGTAGTTATTTTGTGTACGTACGAAGTATACGTACGAAGTACGAACTATACTCTCACTCTAGCATAATAATCAAGCAACGTTGCTGCCGTACCATGGCAGCAGCAGGCTTTAAAAAGGAAATCTATCAAAACTTTTTTGGAGCGAGATGCTAGTGGTCTAATCCAATTCAATGATTTATGCTAAGCTAAACTAAGCTAAATATATTAAAAACTAGTAAAACTTAACAGTTTAACTCCAACAAAATGAACATATTTCCAAAAAAGTGACATGTTCCATAAAGATTTTTATAAAGACTTGGCATTTCAATTCACGAGTGAGAAATAATACATGATTAACTATGCTTATGCCAAAAGTATGAATTTGAAAGGATTTATGTGTATTTTAAAAATGTAAGTTTCTAGTAAGTAGCTAGTTTATACTATAGAACACAACTTCAATGTTCACCGCAGACCTTATTTTACTAATCATGAAAACAAACAAAATCTCAATAGCTAAACAATGGCAGATTAATCAAATTAGTCTACACTTTTTATAAACAAAAGAGGCTGACTGTTCCCTAAAAATAGCTATTTTATATCATTTTTACTTCGTTTTTCCTTTTGTTTAACTAACAGTAGGAGAAAATGACAGTGGTTCAAATTAGAGTTGGTTAACTTTCTGGCCACTTCACCAGCAAACAGAGGCTTCAGATGTAAATCCCTTTCAGCTTTACCACATTGGAACAATACCTGCACATATTAAAAAAAAGCCATCTACAACCATCTGGTTATATTGGACGTGCAACAGCTGGAGCTTTGACTTCAAGAAAAAGAGTTACTTTATGACCTGCCGACAGTTGTCGCGTATAGCCCTCTGAAGATGGGTCTACTGTAGGTCAACTTGCATATCATTTGCTACTATGTTACATTTATATTTTCTTATGGGAGAATGTGTTAATTCTGTTGAGCTTATGTTTGTTGTTTACTTCTGAAAGGGATCAGATTTCGTTTGAGTTTGGCTAGTGTGTGAAAGGATGATGGATGGATGATTGTTTCAAGTATTTGGTTTTTATTTATTGACTGTGTATTTTTGCCTGCCTTAAATTGAAAGCCAATGCATCGGCCTGTTGATGTTCTTCGATTAGCAAGCTATAGAAATAAAACATTTCAGTATTTATTAATCTAATCAGGATATCAGGCTGTAGAATATATTATAATATAATCACTTAATCAATTTTGTTTATTGCAGGCGAACTTACCTTACTAGAAAGGAATATATCGATCTCATTTTCTCATTAGAGATCTCATTATGTCTCCATTTTCAACTTGAATTGAGCTTAAATGCACCATGTTTACTGATACTGTTAGATAGCAGTCGGATTGCTTTGAACATTTGATATATCATGCTACATTGCGTTATTTAAAATCAGGGATTCTTAACACACTGAATAACGGTTATGGAAGGGAGAATTCAAAAGAAAACTCAGTGGATGTACTTGGCGAATAGTTTTGTTCTTTCAATACACCAAATTGGTCCTTTATTTTCATATTTGTTCAAGGTGTAATGGAAGTTTCTCTTTCGTTTGTCATCATGTTGTATATTTACATATCAGTTCTGTTCAGAAGTATTTATTGTATTATTTATATTCTTCCCTGCAATTTCTGTCTCAGTTTCCGGAATTTTCCCTGTGCTTTCTTGTATTCTGTAAACTCTCCATTACAGACGACCTCTTATGCAACTACAAATATTTGTGTTCCAGTACTGGTGTGGGGTTTTCTCCTCTTTTTCTTTTCTTTTTACCACTGTTGCCAATAAAGTCAAATACTTAACACATCCACCTCTTTTTTTATTTTTATGGGTAATGTTTTCATCTGAATTGACTTTTAGGATTTCGCTAAGTAATTCCAATTCCGCACGGATTAGTTTCCTGGTCACAATCCAAGGTGGCAGCAGTGGAAAGAAATGCATCATGGCCGTGGCTGTGGTTGTGGTGTTCCCTTTTAGGTCCTGTGCAGCGGAGTGGGTCCAAGCACTGACTCACGGGCTAATCCCAAATTAAAAGCCACATGCTTGTATCTGGTTCTGTCTGGAGTTGCACCAAAAGCCACTGGACCTGTTTGAGACCACAGCATGAGGCTTGTAATTTTTTTATTTATTTTTTTTGCACAGCGGTTCCGATGTATAAACATGTGAAATTCAGGCTATGATGATATGATTCTATTGAGAATAGTTACCATGGAGGTATTTTCTTTATCTTCAAGGCATTTTAAATATTTGTTCAATCTATCCGAGGCTCAACAATTAGGATGGTCTGCTGGCTCAGAGTCTGCTTGAGGGAGACTCAGTTCAGAAGACTGAAAAGTACTCTCAAAATCGTTTTACACATGTATTTTTAATGCATTGCAAATTTTAGGCTTAAATTTTACAAAATAATTATGTGTCTTTAAGAATGTATTAAAAACTACACTATTGTCTGGTATTATAGGCCAGTATTATGCTATTATATTTGTTTTTTTTGTGAGAAATTTGATAATCAAATATGTACTTTTAGTTTTTAGATTTTTCAGATCTATAATAATAACAACAATAATAAATGAATAAAAATAATCCTTTTAATTTGAATAATTATTCATATATAAAAAATGTAGTGCACACGTATATAAATATGCTCATCAAATAAAAACAAAAATAAAAATAATAATTTCTTTGTTATATATAACAAAGAAACCTGGGGAAAGGAGTGGCATCCGGTGTGGTCTTCTGCTGCTGTAGCCCATTCGCCTCAAGGTTCGACATGTTGTGCATTCAGAGATGCTCTTCTGCATACCTCGGTTGTTGTAAGGAGTGCTTTTTTGAGTTACTGTTGTCTTTCTATTAGCTCAAACCAGTCTAGGCATTCTCCTCTGACCTCTGGCATTAACAAGGCATTTGCACCCACAGAACTGCAACTCACTGGATATTTTATCTTTTTCGGACCATTCTATGTAAACCCTAGAGATGGCTGTGTGTGAAAATCCCAGTAGATCAGCAATTTCTGAAATACTCAGACCAGCCCGTTTGGTCACAAACAACCATGCCACATTCAAAGTCACTTAAATCACCTTTCTATATATATATATATATATATATATATATATATATATATATATATATATATATATATATATATATATATATATATATATATATATATATACACACACATATATATATATATATATATATATATATATATATATACACATATATATATATACACATATATACACACACACACACACACACATACATACATACATACATACATTTTATCTGTTGATTAATTTCCTTTACTTATTAAAATACATTTTGATTAATGTTTATGTTCTGTTAATAAGTTATTTTAAACAAGTCCAAACAAAAGGTGCTTCAGGGGTAGTTAATGTGTTATGTTTATATAATTTTCTGTTTTCTGTTGTTTAGATATTCAATCGGTTATGTGACCATCGAGTATTCAAATGAACTCCAGACAAACCTGAACATTGTTACCCTGATGAAGGCAAGTTTTGCCGAAACACATAGTTGCTGTTTTTAAAGAATAGCCTGTTACACTTTACAATAGGGTTCATTAGTTAATGCATTTACTAACATGGACTAATCATGAACAACACATGCACAGCATTTATTCATCATAATTGAACATTTACTAATGCATTATCAACATTCAAGTCCATGCTTGTTAACATTAGTAAATGCACTATGAGTTAACATGAACTAACAATGAACTACTGTATTTTCATTAACTAACGTTAACTAACATGAACAAATACAGTAGTAGATGTATTGTTCATTATTTGTTCATGTTAGTAAATGCATGAATTACCATTAACTAATGAACCTTATTATAAAGTGTGACCGAATAGCCATGTTAATAAAGGCTTTTATTTTTTTTTTTGCATTTACTTTTTGTGTGCCTTGGACTTGATTTTTTTTTTTTGTTTGTTTATTTTAAACAAAATGTAATTTCAGTAATGTAATATATAATTATATATGATCTGTTCTGAATTCTGTTTACAATATTGTCCTTCAGGGCTTTTATATATATATATATATATATATATATAAAAAATAAAGTTCAAAATAAAGTTCAACACACAACTATAAAGGTGGCACGGTGGCCCAGTGGTTAGTACTTTCGCTCCCAGCAAGAAGATTGCTGGAATGAGCCAGTACTGGGCCAGTTGGCATTTCTGTGTGGAGTTTGCATGTTCTCCCTGTGTTCACGTGGGTTTCTTCTGTGTGCTTCATTCTCCCCAAAGACATGCGGTACAGGTGAATTGAATAAACTAAATTGGCCATAGAGTGTGTGTGAAAGTGAGTGTATGGGTGTTTCCCAGTACTGGGTTGCGTTTGGAAGGCCGCTGATTATAAAACATAAGTTGGCGGTTCATCCCGCTGTGGTGAGCCCTGATAAATAAAAGGACTAAGCCAAAGTAAAATCAATGAATGCATGAACATAACTATAAACTGTCAATCCAGAAAGTATTTATACTAATTTTAAATTTTTCCATTCCTGTATTTATATAATATATTTAGAATATTCTATATATTCCATACATGTGCAGGAAATAGAAGGTCCAGGCTTGTTTAATAAATTCTCTCCTGGTTTTTGTCTGAGTGATGAGTCTGGGTTAAAGCTAATATTCGGCCACCCCAGACGCTTCCTCCCTGCTTTACTTTTTCAACACTTCCCTCATGTTTTTTTTCCTCCTCCCCTACTCTTGAAAGAGAACAGTAATTTGTCCTGGCCTTAGAGAGCTCTAAAGCCTTTCTCTGACAGAGAATAATCCACCAGGATCCAGCCGCTGCCGATGGGCCGGAACATGCCAAGTCTTCCCTCTTTTGTGTGTGTTTTTGTGTGAATGTGCTTGTTCGCTAACTCTTAAAGCTGGTTTTGGAGCCTCAGCTTAAAATCGAGGCGTCCTGCTGATCTCAGACTACATTACGGTCTTAATGTGTGACAGCTTAATGCTAAAGATGCCTTTAAGATGGGTGTTTTCACACAAATCTGGACTTGTCGTGTCCTATTTTTTGGAACCGTGAAGATTTTTTCATGTCAAGAGGATGTTTTTAGGGATAAGCTGCAATTTTGTTTCTGGACACAATAAACAAAAAATAATTATGGTGAAGTTGTTCCCTAAAGAAAAATAAACATTTTTCTTGTCATTATTTTAGAATTAGAATATTTACTGAGTCTTAAAGGAAACAAATTTGAGGACAAATTAAATTTCAAGGTTTCTTTGTTTGCTCACAGAATGTTTGTGTTCGCTTGTAAAAAGTATTGAGTTTGCTTACAAAAATACTGCGTTTCCTCAAGAATCTTTCTGTCTACTCTTAAGTAATTCGTTTTCTACAGTGGCTGCGAGAACTTAAATGCACTGCAAGTTAAGACATAATGTGCAAATAGAGAGTTGCTAACATACTGAGAAAATATATTCATCAATTACTGAACAAACACACACAAATTCTCACAACATATGCAAATACAGAAACGTGCTGCAAATATAGCGCAGACCACAAATGAAATGAACAGAAACTGTATGACCAGTATGTTAGCATAAACCAAAACTGACCCCAGATCTCCAACAACACCACTGATGAGAAAGCCAGGTTTGTAACTGTTTTTGACACATTTTTGTTGTGATCTGTGCTATTTATTGTAAATTTCCGTAGTGTGTGTGTGTTGTCAAATCACTGAGAGGAAACCCACGCGAACACGGGGAGAACATGCAAACTCCACACAGAGATGCCAACTGACCCCTATAAATTCAATACATACAAAAATATTAAACCAGCTATTGGTTTAGTCCAAATTACACCCAGAATTTGGTTTAAATAACCCAGCATTTTTTAAATGTGTGTTTTCTTAACTTGCTGCTCATTTGAACTCTCCTGGCCACCATGGTTTTCCTTCGCAAAGTATTGTGTTTCCATGAGAAAACCTTTTATGGTTCACAAAAAAAAACCTTGCATTGACGTACTCTTGTAAAAGGACTGCTTCTATGAAAAGTTTTAGACTGAATTAGAAAGCATTTGCTTACTCCCAGAAAGCACAGACTTACAAAGCATTTCTGCAATCAGAAAAGTATTGCGGTAGAGCGGTGTTTCTCAACCACGTTCCTGGAGGACCACCAGCTCTGCATATTTTCCGTGTCTCCTTAACCAAACACACCGGATTCAGATCAGCAGCACATTAGCAGAGACTAAAAGACCTGTAATGGGTGTAACAGACAAAGGAGACATCCAAAATATACAGTGTTGGTGGTCCTCAAGGAACATGGTTGAGAAACACTGCCTTAGACTTTGTGTTCCCCAATAAACTTTGTTGACTTACAAAACATTTTCGTGCTCTCAAAAAAGCATTGCACATGCAATTGTCATACTCTCAAAAGGGTTGGTGTGTTCCCAAAGAAAACTTGCGTTGGGTTAAAAAGCTTCTGCATGCTCTGAGAAAAAACTTTGCCATCACTGAAAAAAAGTTTGTGGGGGTAACATTACAATATAGGATACAAAATTAATTTTAGTTCATGTCTTTAGTAACACAAACACAGAATGAACAATGCTTGTATAGTATTTATTTACAAATATATTTCAACATTAACTAATGCGGATGACACGGTGGCTCAGTTGTTAGCACTGTTGCCTCACACCAGGAAGGTCGCTAGTTTGAGCCCTGACTGGGTCAGTTGGCAGTTTTGTGTGGAATTTACATGTTCTCCTCGTGTTGGCGTGGGTTTCCTCTGAGTGCTTTAGTTTCCCCTACAATCCAACGCTATAGGTGAATTGAATTGTCC